CTTCTTCTTCTTCCTTCTCCTCCTCTTCTTCCTCTCCTTCTTTCACCCATCCTCTTCTTCCTCTCCTTCTTTCACCCATCCAGTCGGTCATCGCGATCTCTACTCCGCTTTCGGCTCTCCCCTCGTCATCCACCGCGTCTCGGGGCAACCGTCACTTTTTGCAAACGTCTCCGAACCCTCCTTAATCAAACCGTGCCCACCTCCGCTTGATTCTTTTATACCGCGCCACCGCGTGTCGATCCCTCTCCCGAAGTTGGAAACCTATTCACCGGGCGCACCCGGTGACTTTTCGCCCAGGATCGAGATCATCCTCCATTCTATTCGGATAGGATCGGGCCGAGGACTATTCACGCGATAAATTCCAATCGTTCCCCAATATTCCCTTCCTTCGGCCGAACTTGTTTCGCGGATGAACGAATCGGAGATCGAGCTGATCGGGTGATGACTATTTTTTCAATTTCATCCTTAAAGTCGGTCGAACAAGTTTCTCTTTCTTTTTTTTTTTTTTTGGTTAATTTTTATCCCTTTGGCAAACGTATTATTCGATTTTCACTCCTCTCGAGACCATTAAACCAACATTCCCGTTTGATTTCACGTTGGCAACGATCGGATCGAGCGTCCATAGAATTTATTCTGGAAAAACATTCTTCAAATTCCTCCCGTTCGACTCGTCTCGAGATTCATCGCCACCGTAAAAACAACAGGAAACTTTCCTCCGTGGAGCGGCGCGGTTCGAAGGTGAAGCGAGCTCGCGACTGCTTGTCTCGAGCTTTGATTGAAATATGTTTATTCAGGAACGACGTTGAGCACAATCGAAAGGGAACAGGAAGCGTTAGCTCTGATTCTGAATTGTTTATCCTGACCCGTTACCTTTCTTCTCCCCTCGATCAAATGGCCGGCAATTCTTCGAACGGGATGAATCAAGTATGATCAAGAATAACATCGATTATTCTTCCTATCTTTCCACGCGCATACTCCTTCCCCCCGTATAAAAATACAAAAGATATCTTTTGGGGGACTAAAAAATCGATCCGTATTTTATTTGGTCCAATGTATCAGCATCTTTGACGCAACACTTGAATTCGTTTCATTTTCTCTGCTTAATTTTTTCCCATGTATAATATTCGATAAATAGTTAATAATTTTTTAGAAAAATAGATTATTATAGAAAAAAACGAATGCGAACTTGGGAACATAATCATTTTATTTTTTGACGTAAGAAAAATTTCAGCAATAGCGATAAATAAAAAAAATCAAGTGAAAAATTTTGAGAAATTTTATATGGAATACGCTGTGGAAAAGTAAATATTATGGATCTTGCAGAATGATTTTTTTTACTTTTTTAAATAAAGGAAATTCGAATAGTAATATGAAACACTATTAATTTTAAGTAATAAAATTACAATTTATGAAACTATGTTAATAAATTGTTTATTAATAAAAATATTCTATTAATGTACAAGCATAATTAAAAATGGATTTCAAATATACAATCAAACGAACAATTTTATTGTTTTGCGATAACATATGCAAATTATGCTTTCTGAATCTGCATGCATAATCATAATTAACACGATAGACAATGTAGATATCTTTAAAATTTTAATTATACTACTATGAATCAAGTATTTCATATATTTCTAACAATTTCACTTTCTTTTGTCATATCATAATCGAAAAACCGAATATTTCAAATCTTCATATACTAAATATGAATTGTTATTGCAACTTATCTTTTCTTTTTCTTTAAAAATCACAAAATAAACTAATTAATAAACTAATTGGAAACTTTCTATTACGATGAAATATTATTATTAAAAAAGAAAGATAATTACCAAAAACAATTACTTGGACGAATGTTTCAGTTATGATAATATTTAATCAGATTTATCGATATTTTACGCAGATCAAAAACTTGATATCTTTCTAGATCCTATCTCATATTCGTTTTTATTATGTCTCGATAATTTGATTGTGCATATTAAATATAAATTGCTGATAAAAACAATTCGATATTACTTTCTTAGATTCAGGATAAAAATGTACCATGAATAATTCGACTTTAATGAAACTTAATTTTAATTTAAATAATCTTATCTAAAATAGTATCTTTATATAGTAATGAGTTTTATTATCTATTAAATAAATTGAAATTGAAATAATAGTTATTTAAGGACTATCTTCTATTGGATTGGAAAATAATGTCTATTTTATGACAGCAAAATAAATTAATTTATTGACATTCGCGCACACATTTTAAGTAATCTATTACTAAGTTTTTTTTTATTAAATTTAGTATATATATTGATTCTATATATATATATATATAAATTAATTTTATTATTCATTTTATGTTTAATGGCGACTTTAAACTGAGCTTTATTTAATAGAGTATTTCATAATAAACGATGTTGCAATAAAAGAATAATATAGCGAACAGTTTTTTTTTTTTCCATTAAATCGAAATTTAATAAATTAAATTTTTTATATTAAATTTTATATCCTCTTTTGAAATCATTATATTAGATAGGCAATAACTGTACATACACATATAAACTATATCAATGTACGTTACAAACAAACTTTTAAAATAATCATTACCATTAATAAATGTACACTATAATTCGACATATAATGTACTATAATACAAGAACATTTACATTTACATTTCATTTAAATTCACGTAATGCAAACTTAACTTGACTGAAAATAAATGTCTTACGTCCAATTGTTGTAACGATTCAATTAACATTAATTTTTAAATTTAGACAAGAATAGTATATTTCGTAACTACAAAGTACGTCTTAACTTTCATAAATGGATTTATCATATAAGGAGCGTACACACGAGGAGTCGTTTATAAAATTGTTTATCCGACGAGGATCAGAATGTTACGTAACTTTTCCACCAAGCATAAACCAGCCAGAAAATAAATCGATCGATCAAACCGAAAGAAACCGTTGAATTTTACAGGTGACCGATACAAACGACAACGCGCCAACATTCCAGAACACCGCGTATTCCTTCGACGTTCCGGAGAACATGCCGAGAGGAAGTCGAATAGGTCAAGTCGTTGCGACGGACGCAGACGCGGATGGCCCCAATAGTCAACTGAGCTATACCCTGATTTCTGACTGGGCCAACGACGTTTTTTCTCTGAATCCTAGCACCGGTGTGTTCACGCTCACCGCCAGCCTCGACTACGAACAGGTTCGTACCGTACAAGCACTTGTCGATCGTCCAGGGACGGCGATTTAGAAAGCGTGTAAAATGATTTGCGGAAGACCATTCAGACGCGCGGATATGTCGCTTTCACACGGAATTATGGGATGCGGCTGTTATTCTTAAAACGACCGTTTCCATTTCAAAGATATGTCGTGTCGTCAGAAACACAGAAGGGAGGCTGTGATGCCTTCATTTTCGTTTCAAACAAACGATTCGAAATTTTGTTACGGTCGAACGAGAAATTATTAATGATTTTTCAATTCGTTTTGTCACGATTGAACAAAGAATTAACGATACAACCGTACAAACTTTGAAACCCTCAAAACATGAAACCTTCGAAATGTTTTGCCATTTTTTGCGATTCGAAAATCTGGAAAGTCGCGTAAAGAATGAAACTCGTATAACTTAGAAAAAAATACGAATTTATTTCTATTTATAATTAATAATAATAATAATAATCCAATTGAATTCGTTCAAATTCATTTTAATTAGTACGCTTCTATTATAATCTATTATTATTGACTGAATACGAGCTAAATTTTATAATAATTCGAGAAATTTGTGAAAACCTTTTTTCGAGAAAATTTGGAAATTTTTTTAAATCTAAATTTATCAAACTGACTTGAACGGACAGACATAGAGTATAGAACACCGAATAACGTAGTTCACGGGGAACAATTCCTTTCTTATCGCGAATTTACAGAATAGGATTTTTAGCAGCACGATCAACGCGAGAAGTCCACATACGGTAAAACGCATAGTTGCTCGAGGCAACGATTATAACCATGAACACGCCTCTACATTTAAGCTTGAACGCACCTATTATATTAGCTTTCGGCTATGCTAGAATTTAGGGTTTAGCGTTAACAGTCCGACAGATCGATCAACAGACGTTTTCAAATTGGCGGTCTGATCCTTCAGAGACAAGCCATATTTATTTCAAGACACGAGTGAGTGTGTATACGTTCATTTTGTCCATCGTTGATCTTGCTTTTCAATTACAAGTGGATACTTTGTTCTTTGGACATGAAGACGCGATGACGTCGTTTTTCTTTCTTTCTTTTTTTTTTTTTCTGCGTTAGAGAATAATTTTTAAAATTAAAATTTAAAGAAAACAAAAATGTTGACAAAAAATAAACAATTTATCACGGATTACATTTTGAACTGTTTTATATACAAGAATCATTGTATTGTTTCGTGTAATGAAAATTCGATGTGAAACCTTTAATGTCTTTAATAGACATTTTTTTTTTATTAATGAAACAGGAAAAAACTTTCAAAGAAGCAATACTTTTGCCAGCAATCTTTTCAATTTCCCTTAAAAATTATCACTGATGAATCTGCTGCTTCTCTTGCTGCAATCGTAATGGTACATTTACAACCATTAATTATATATTCGCAGTTTATTACACGGCGTTACACGTGTATACATATAATATCACCTAATACAGTAGAGTTTCGGCGAGAAGAAGTAGAACGAGCATAGACGCGAAGAAGCGCTACTTAGAGAAAGAGCAGTTTATAGAACCTTTCATCATCGTAATGCCTTTCCAGATATAGGGCGGGATCGTTCGAGAGCGTTGGTTCACAGTTGTTGGGTCGGAAAGATCTGAGACGCATTGGAAACGGAGAAACAACACGTTGCTTCCACGAAGCTCGTATTAGTCCTTGCAAAATTGTTGGGCTCGCTACCCGTAACGAAGCCCGATGCAAGCGAAAATGTTCGAGCGAAAGAAAAAAAATCTCCCTTAAAAAACCTCGGCCGGGAGACAATTGTTCTCCGAATCGTTCTTGCAACTCTTATTTCTTTCTTCCATCTCTTATTAACCACGATCCTCGACTTTATTATCGATCGATCAATCGAGAAATCCTCCCCTCGATCGTTTTCGCAGGTGCAACACTACATCCTGGTGGTTCAGGCGACGGACGGGGGAATCCCGGCGCTTTCCTCGACGGTGACCGTCTACTGCAACGTGGTTGACTTGAACGACAACGCGCCGATCTTCGAGGCGGGGCCACACGCGGTTGATATCGTCGAGAATACGACGATCGGCACCCCAATCCTATCTGTGACCGCCCAGGACCTCGACTCCGGAGATAACGGGAGGGTAATTTACGCTGTCGCCGGCGGTGACGAGAATGGTGACTTCGGAGTGGCACCGAACGGCACCCTTTTCACTCGAAAGTTGCTCGACAGAGAACAAAAGCCACTTTACAATTTGGTCCTCAGCGCCACGGATAGCCCTCCGCCACCGGGCCTCCCTTTGTCCTCCACCGTACAGGTTTGTTCGTTTCCTCTATAACGAGCGTATGTCGCGCGTTTCCTTTTTATGCAAACTTAAGAATTCTATTGAAAGCTTAGATTGTTTTATTTTATTTTTTTTTTTTTTTTTTTTCTATTGAAGAACCAAGGAGGTTTCTTTGTTTTGTGATAGAAAAATGTAATACGATGGAATAAAACTGCGCGCGGTGTTGTTTCGCAAACAAGCATCAACCACGTGGCGATCTTTCCAAGCTTCGATACAGCATTATAGCGAATATATCTCGTATTTTGCAAATATCTCGAAAATTAAGATCGACTGTCAATTATATCCATGAAGATATCACACGTCAACAAGATTGATTGAAATTATTTGTTCAATTTTATACTTGTAATTACTGTTTATATTGTTAAATACGGCGAGAAAGTTATTATTTAATGAATAAAAAAATGTATTATTGGTTTTTTTTTCTATCATAAAAGCAACAAAATTTTTTTCTTGGCCATATTTCTTAATTGTGTTGAATCATTGAAACTTTATGATTTTACGTCGTTTAATTTAAAAAGAATATAATACTCGTTGAAAAATAATTTTTAATTTCACAATATATTTCACAAGAGCATTAATTTTATGCACGTAAGAATTAAGAATCTCTAAGAGAAAGAAGCTATTGAAAGATGTTTTCAATTCCTTAAATTGCTTCTTTGTTAAAAAAGTTGTCAAACGAGTGAAAAAAAAAAAAGCAATTGATGAAAAATCGAGAAAATATGAAAGATGAAATGAAACTTCAATTTCTTTGACTTTGAGTTTTGTATGATACTTGTTACTTGTAGTTTACAATTATTGTATAAAAAAACTTTTTCTGTATATATTAATCAAAATAATTGTCATTCTTTAATTTTTATAGAATAGATTCTTAATTATAATTGACTTATTTGCATCAAATATAAATTACGAATAAAATGAGGATCTAACTATAACTAGTCGTAGCATTAAAGTCAAATATAAGCAAAATTAAATAGAAATTTCAGAATGTTTTTAAAATTGAATCGCAACGAAAATAATATTATCTATTATAATTAAACATTTAAGAAAAAAAAATGTTGCATTATCTAACGAAGAAGTAAAAAGTAATTTTTAACATATCAAATTATTTAAAATATATTACTCTGATTTTTAAAATAGAATCGATTGAATCAAATAAACTATTCTTTTTT